GATTACTCTCAACTCCGGCGACCTCACACCAAATTGGCAGCACCAAATATTCCTTACACTCTCAAGAACACAATGGAAGAAGAAGTAGAGAGAATGGTGTAGAAATGAGAAGGGTTGCTTCTCCTTATATAGGGAAGAAGAGAAGTAGATTACAAAGGTAGCTGAGTCAATTGTGATTCACGATCGGCGTAGTGGAGAAGGAGGCGCCGTTCGCACAGTGTCCCTGATTCGGACCAATTTTGGTTCCAGTCGGGGTACACTTTTTGGTCCAACTTTCTCCGAATTGAATTCCGTTTGCACCGTTGCAATCGGGCAGTTAAACTCTATCTAACGATATAATTTTTATATTTATTTGTAATACTTTTTCCGACATCATATTTTTGGGTGGTTGACTTTGACAGAGTCAAAATTGATTTAATTGACCTTTACTCAAAAAGGTTCTTACATTTAATTCATATTATTTATTCCCATGATTTATTTCAATAAATCATTTCAAAATTCACATTATAAACAATTTCTTCATTTATTCTTAATTTGGGTCTGTACTAAGGTTCCCAATCAAGATCACACAAATAGTCCACATATTGGATTTATCTCGATTAGACTTATCCAGATTTTGATATTGGATATTAAAAATATTTCATATCGGCCCAAAGCCCAATAATAATCAAAACAAATTTGTTTAATCGAATAATTATTTAATAATAATTCTAGGGTATGTTTCGGGGCGTTACACCGCATATCTAGAAATTTGATTAGGTTATTGAAATAACCGTCAATGTTCAAGAGACCAATGGGTCTATTGTGTAACCCTTCAGAAGCCCACGAGATCAAGGTAAACAAACCTTCCATAGTGTCAACTCCTCCAGGAAGAACAATGAAAGCTTCCACGGCATGATTCATCTCAAAATATTTGTAGTAATTGCTGGAAACTGTGTGCTCTACGCCATATGTAGGTCCGTAGACCCGTCGTGTTGCTATGTACCCAGGAATGAAACCTCTAACGAGACCACCATTGTTGAGGACTATTGAAGCAACAGCTCCTTGTAGGCCAACGTTGCCTCCTCCATAAGCAAGACTAATTCTTCGCCTTATCAATTCTCTTCCTAAATCTACCGCAGTAGCCATAAACTTTGGATTTCTACCAAGAGAATGACTGCCAAGTAGACCAACGAATCTTATGGTATAAGGAAGTGTTCGAGAAGTTCCTTCCATAATGTGAGAATGTGAGATACTCTTTTCATAATCGTGATATATATAGTCTCTGAAACCTGACCATTGATGGAAAAGTAATTATCACCGCCAAAATACGTACAGAAAAGTGAATTCGCTTCAACTATCTACAGACGAAAGTGTACTCATCAATACTGTAGTCTGCTGACGATGTGATATATTGAGACTAATGAATAGTTAGATTCGCTGTCCTGAAATACGATCAAATCCGAGACGAAAAGTCAAAATGACTATTTCAAAGACAACGACCCCTTGAGTAATTTCCAAAGAGTGAAACATTGAAAGAAGAAAATCTACGATTAGTAACGGCAATTCGCAAACGCTATCTTTATATCTCGTGACTCATATCCTTGAATTACTCAAACATGATGTGTTAACTACACTCTTGAGACATCTCGCTTGATCAATCTTGAAAAGATTGAATTCCATTGTTGTATCAAAATATTAAAGCCTTGGGAACTTGTCTTAATTCATCAAGATACGTTATACCGATCTTTGAAAACTACACTCTGTGAACTACGGTGAAAGCATTCTGATTGGAATATTATGTTGAGCCTCTCTTTGTGGACCACAAAATGGTTGATGCGATTATGTTATCTCTGAAGATTATTATCGATGATCTCATTTGACCAAACAAACTCCGTTATGACCCTACTAAGGGAATGTATGTGCAACAACCAGAGAAGAAATGACGTCACAAGGATCAAGCTGAATCATACAAGCAAAAAATTCCGAACCTATATGCGATATTGGTATAAGAACTCGTAACATTCCTTACTTTATAAATTCGTGAATTGAATCACATACTGAAGATATTTTTTTTCGAAACGAGATTAACCATAGTGCTAAAAACGAACCTGTCATTATCATATCTTGATCAAAGTAAGGAAGTCGAATATGATTAAACAAATACGAGACAAAGCTCGAAAGTAAATTGTTACGAAGGCTCATTTACGGTAATGAGAACTATGACGAAGGTAAACGAAGGAATGTTTCAAATACGAGATCGATAATGATGTAATTATGGTTTAACCAAATGAACATGACACGGTCATGATAAAGTGAGATCACTACGAAGTGTAAAATTGACCCTTAGAAGAATTTCGAGGACGAAATTCCTTTAACGGGGGGAGAAATGTAACGCCCCAAAACATACCCTAAAATTTTTAATGAATAAATATTCAATTAGTCAAATTTGTTTCGATTAAAATAAATAGTTATTGGGCTTTGGGCCGAAATGAAATGTGTTTTGATATCCAATATCTTAATCTGGATAAATCTCATAGAGATAAATCCAATATGTTGAGTATTTGTGTGGTCTTGATTGAGAACATGAGTACAGACCCAAATCAAGAATAAATAAAGAAATTAGTTATGTAGTGAACTTTAAAATGATTTACTGAAATAAATCATGATAATAATTAATATGAATTGAATATGAGAACCTTTTTGAATAAAAGTCAACTAAATCAATTTTGACTCTGTCAAAGTCAACCACCCAAAAATATGGTGTCTGAAAAAGTATACCAAATAAACATAAAAATTATATCGTTGGATAGAGCTCGACTGTGTGATCGCAACGGTGCAAACACATTTCAATTCGGAGAAAGTTGGACCAAAAAGTGTACCCCGACTAGGACCAAAATTAGTCCCAATCAGGGACTTGCGTTTATAAAAATAAACAGTAGAGATCAGCCTCCTCCTCCACTCAGCCGTTCCAACAGGAGAAG